ACAACATTATTATTTACTACTGCAGTTCCAGTCAATTCAGGCTTGTTAACTAATTTGTTTATTACAGAAAAATCTTTCCACTTCATTTATTTGTGACTTTTTTCAACACCGTTCTTCTTGACATTGCCACTGGAAGCAGCACATTCTTCCACATCTTCTCAAATCAGGGATGGCGCACATATTGGTATTTGTTGCATGCCATAGGAAATAAATACTGTAATGTGTAGGGTGGTACACGCAGTGAAAATGATGGGTTCTAGTTCGGATGATTGGATTTATTGGCACTTTGGTCACACTCTCTCTTAATCACATTTAAATACAGGAAGTACAGTGCTATTGCTGATTTACATGCTTTCCACTTCACTGTTGGACATGCACTAGGATTCTCCGTCTTCACTAGTCCTCGCCTGGCAATGGATCTCAACACAGAAACTAGAACAGTCCCAATGGATCACGCACTCCCAGTATTACACATAAATCGAATCTTCTGTCACACTTTAAGTCTTCTGTGAACTTCCCATGGCTATCTTCCACCAAGAACTCAAAAGTCAGAACGTACTTGAACGGAACTGCACTTAAAAACTGAAACCTGTTCAGTGTCAAAGTCTCATTGTGACTGACAGTCAGTCAGTATAAAGTGAAATAATCTATCTGTTTAAATTTATGTTTCCAACTCACCTGTTACGAGCTAAGCCAAACAATTAGAAATGTCGAAAACAATCATTCTAACTGCTGATCTCCATGCTTTTGAATGTCAAAGTTACATTGTGACTGACAGTCAGTCAGTATAAAGTGAAATAATCTATCCGTTTAAATTTATGTTTCTAACTGCTGATCTCCATGCTTTTGGAGAAATGTTGACTCAGCCCAATGACAGAAAACTAGCATTTAATCCATTGAAGTAAGAAGCACAGCCAAGTAATATTTATAAATTAGAGTTTCTACCTTAGTGGGAACACTATGTCTGCATTATAAAGACGAACTGGTTTAGAATGTGTAAGGAAGTAATCATTGACTATTGTTAAGAATCATACAAAAAATGCATTCTCTGGGAAAAAGTATAGAGATCTTTTAATGTAAAAGCAGGAGGTACACATGGTAACTACTGTGCCTCAAGGGGTTAAAATATATTTAAATATTGCTATAAACCGACTACTGCAGTTGTCTCATGGTAAGTTGCATAAGAGAAGTATGACATTTCTATGCAGTTGTCAGTTTCATCATAATTTGGTAAATGCATCATTGTAAAAGGCAGACCCATCCTCTCGTCAAAGTGGGCACTCTATATCAATAAGCCTGCAACTGTCAAGACAAAAAAATCATGTCTTAAGACCCAAATGGTTGCTTTACACCAAGACAGACTGGCTGACTTACTGTAAGTCGTAACATAACGTCTTTCTTCGTAATGTATTTAGTGACACTGTCAGTAACTCAGGCTATATAGCATCAAATGACTGGAGGATAGTGAATAATGGATTGGAAGGGAGCTGTTGTGGTAGAGTTTAAGGTAAGATCCAAAGCATTTGCCCCTAGGAACTGAGGGTAACCATGAAAAGCCAATGTTTGAACAAAGCACCTCCTGTAATCAAGTCAGAAGCATTACTTCTTGAACCAACTAACATGGAGAATAGGTATCACAAAAAGCAGATAACACCATACAGCAAAACAAATTGCTTTTTTCTCCTGTTTGAAGAAAAATAGTTTACACTACAGATTCATCAGTAAATTTTAATGTAAATTTGTATTTTTGAAATTTCTGTCTATGTATGAAAATTGTTATGATCCATAATTTTCAAGAGAAAGGATCCAAATGTGCAGCAAGCCCTAACATAGCCTTATGGATATTATATGGCAGCTGTTTGATCATTCAGTGCCCAGGTAATGGCCAGGTGACAATTGGCACTATATTAAAAGTACCAGTGGCAAAGGAAGATTTTAGTCAAGACTGAATAATATTTAGAAACCAGCACAAATCCTAAATTGCTTTCTGTAATATTTTTATTGTGCACATTTTTTATATAATCAATTAAAAGTGCCCACATTTCATAGGTTCTGGAACCAAGCAAGATGGTTCAGGCAATAACACATCTGGCTCTTTGGTCTTGTATTCAGGAGAGACCTGGTTTAAATATCAACAGGGACACTGACTAAACAGACTGAGATTCTTTTGGTTTTCCTCAGTTCCACCAGGTCAATTCTGGTGTATTCTCTCGAATTTTGTCATGAACATTTGTTCCATATCCTTACCAATTCATTAGTCCCTGTTATTTGACAGTACATAGGCAGAGCTGTGGACAGCATTATTAAATAAACCAAGAATGAATAAAGTGAAATATTGGGTCAGATAAAGGAATCCAGAGAAAACATTTCTGTGTAGTAATGAAAAAAAAAATTCTGAAATTTAAAATTTATATGTATATATAATAAACCTCCTCTCACTAATGACACACAATGGAATAAAATGAGGAATGCATGCAAAATTTGTCAGGAACTAAGTGAAGTGGCTACTTTGGAAACTTGGGTATAGATGGAAGGATAGTATTGGAATGTATCTTTAACAAATGGTGTCTTAGAATGTGGAACAGATTCATCTCGCTCAAGATAGGTTCAAATGGTGGGCTTTTGTGAACTTGATAATAAACCATTGGTTTCCATAAAACGCAGGGAGTTCGTTGTCTAGATGGTGAGAAGTAGCAGGGCAGTGGTTACATCTACATTGTGGGAGGGAAAAAGGTTGATATAATGTAACTAAGGCCTGTGATTATCCCATACACACCTTACAGTCTCATCTCGGTTAGTGGATTTGACCAGATCCAGTGTGCCTTATGTTGAGAAATGTCTAATAGCACAAGCAATAACTTACTGCATGGATCTGAGTTCTTCTTGAGAAGTTAATAATGACTCAACCACTCACAGAACTAAGACTTCTGCCTTACAGGATATAATGCCATGGCAGTCTGTTGAAAGTCAACCTACATTTCGGAGGAACCAGGTTGAATGGTAAGCCAAGCAAGAAACCAGCGTGAAGGAGACAGGAAGTTTTGCCTGACTTTCAACAGACTACAAAACCTTCTATCCCAGTTGTATCAGTTCTTGAGCAGCTGAGCAACTGTTAGCTTCCTGAAAAGTACTCAACTTCATGCAGTTAGTTAGTTCAAATATTTTTAGACCTGGCTGTTCTCAACAGAAGGCACAGTGGATTTGGTCAAGTCCACTAACTGAGGTAAGACTATAAAGTTTGTATGGATTATTCAGAGGCCTTAGTTACACTGTGTTACCCTTTATCCCTTCCGTATGCAGCTGGAACCATTGCTGCATTACTTCCATTCATCTTCTTTTCATTGCACAGCCCAGAAGTCAGGTTCTCAACAGGGGTTGTGTTCCATACTGTTTTGTTATGAACGGAATACATCATGAAGTTGGAACACTATCTTATCCTCTGTTGCCAGTATTCCATTAAAGAGAACAGCATCACAGCATGGTTGATTTATGCAATGGCTAAGTATCATGCTGTTTTTATTGGCTTACATTGTGATGTGTTTTCTAACTCTCTGGCTTAAGCATAAAACAATGAGTTTCAGGTACCATACCTATTGGTATTGAATATGGAAGACAATTCAAATGGCAGAATTACACTAATAATAGTTACTGTTGTACAAAAGTAATCATGTTAATGAACAGTCATGAAAGCTTCACAATTCTGTTTTTTCCTGCAAAGATAATTTGTACACACTAATATAGTATATCAGTCTGTCACTTATTATTTTTATTGAGATTTTCTTGAGCTAAGGAGCTTGTCAGTGGAAATGCCAAAAGATTTTGCTGTTTGCCCGTGGTCGCTACTGCTTATCCATGCTAGTGGTAGTAATGCTTGTCAGGAATGCTTAAAAAATATATGTTGTGATGCACTTTGGATGATGTATGCACAGAGCAAGCTTAAGTGTGCAAATTAGAAACAGCATACTGTAATTATTCTGCTTTCTAAATTGAAAATTTTGAATTTACATGTAGGAAAAATTAATAATGTGCAATTTAAGCTCTGTTGCATTGACTGTTTTGTGTTTTCATGTTGTTGCATTTAAGTCACAATGCATATTGCAAGTTATGTCTTAAAAGCAAACTGGTTTAAAAAGAATACTTAGTCTCCTTGCAAAGAGCATCACAATAAATGTAACATTGTTTCCATTAACTGAGAATTGTTTACTCCTTAAAGTCTATGGATCATTTATGCCACTATATTTGTTAAATTGAGTTCAGTTTAAAATTCAGTGTAAGACCTTGGCTTTCAGGAGGAAGGTGTGTAGGATGTTGAAGGTTTTTCCAGTGTTTCAAGAAACACTGTGGTTGCCATCTTCAGCCTATCTACATATCTGACACTGGGTTCTGGATGGGAGGTGAACATATGATTTTTGGTTTTGTCCAATCATGTCTTCACTGCCCACTTCCAGCTGTTAATAAGAACTACCAACCCCCCTGTCCCCCCTCCAGACATACTAACTTTAAAGGTGTCAACTGTAGTGTTTTAAGCACAGAAGACATGCTACATGACTTATTCTTGAAAGCTGAAGTCATACATTAAACTGTAGCTGCCAATTCCTAAGGACAAAGAGATTAAAATGTAATAAATAATAATTTATGAAGCTTAGCCATCTAGGTCTATAGATGTATTTAAGACAAGTTCTTCAAATATCTTTCTCTTTGCTGTTGAAAGTACCTTTGTTTTTGGAGTACTTGAATTTGTAGCTCTGCAGCTTATGATACTTGTACAATTAGTTTAGAATATTGTAGAGAGAATGTGTTAACATTATTCATACCACATTCATATGAACATCATATTATGCCTCTAAAGACAAAATAGCTATTTAAAAATGCAGTTTATAATTAATTTGTTTTTTATTATTTAGGTGCATGGTAATTATAGCTGTGAGAGACTTGAACACATTGATGTATTTCATGTAACTAATACACATTTTTCTTTCTTTTTCTTTTTTTTTAATCAGATAAACTTGACAGTTCATTTTCAAGGTCCAGAAGTTCTAGCATGTCCAGTTTAGAGAACATAAGCTCTGAAGCTATACAGTGCCTGGCATTTGCTGACTCTTATACAAAAAAATCTGGTAAGTTCATATTTATTGTAAGTGAATTTGTAATGAAACTAAAAAAGAAAGGAGGGGAACAGAGAACATTTACTAGTATATGGAGTCCATATCGCAAGAAGAAGCAAGTATATTGCTATGTAATGCCACTGTACTTATACTAAATATATGGCATTGGCATCATAATTCTATCGTCACCCAAATAGACTACATGTGCATTATAAAGTTATAATTGTCAAACAGATATTAATATTGTGTACTTTAAATGGCTGTGCTCTTCATGTTATCTATATTAATCTCTGTAATACCAAAACTTGTTATTTTTACCTCCTACCACATTTTTCCCTAAGATTAATCTTAATTTTATCCTTTCATCACCTTCTCTCTTTTCCAAGAGATTCTCCCCAGTAAAATTATTTATGCATTCTTTGTCTCCTTCATGTATGACCAATCTCCATGTTTCCTTGCATCAAATGCTGAAATTTCACTTCCAAAGGCTTCAAAGGCAGACATTAGGTCACTCTGCATATTCATTTAGTAACTTGAGGTGGTTAAACATTGTCCCAGAATGACAGTTATGAGCCTATTTTGAGAAATATATCATACTGCATATTTAAATATTCTTTAGCTGTCCTGAGTTTGATTCCCCATATTGGTTGCATGAGACAGTCAATATTTGGCACTGTGGTTGTTAAGTAATAGGGTGCTGGTCAATGGGAATGTATGTGTATGGATTTATATTAATATAAGCGATTTCATTATTTCAAAGAGAAACCCACGCAAGTGTGGGCACAGTCAGACATAAACATCTAAATTAAAAAATGTATTTTTCTGATATTTTATAGCTGTAAGTTTTTGCACATATGAAAATGATCATGATGGAACCCTTATAATTCTGAAATGTGTTTATTACAAGCACAGTGATGTATGAAGTATTGATCATATTATATGATAACATTGCTCACACATGACATTATGAATCAGTAAAGAACCTAGATGTGAATATTTACATTACAGATGAGAATGGACATGGTAGTCTCACTACAGATGATTGTGTTTGTAAATATACACATTTACGGGGAAGATCAAGTTTTGAGCAGTCTTGTTACTGTAACAAAAGTTTATCAGTGCAGACTGATGTGCTGCTCACTTAATTGGTTTACACTCAGATGTACAACTGGATGATCTCCTTCTATTCATAGATCCATCAACTTTTCCTACACTCTGGGTTGGCACAAGCTTGGGTTCTGTACTGACTGTAATGATCAACGTTCCACCACCAGGGGAGAGTCGTTTGACACAGCCTGTCATTGTCTCACCAATTGGTTAGTATACAGAAGATTTCAGTAGAATCTGCAGACATAGAAATCTGCATTCTCTGCCATGAATGGCACTTGCTGCTCTATAGAACATCGTTTCTGTTATCACATGATGGAAAGCATTATATTGTACGTAGGGAAGTCAAAAATTATCTGCACTCTTGTTTTTCCAATCCATATATACAAAAGTAGGGGTTGAACAAGTACTTCATTTTTCTACAGAGTGTCCTCCCTTTTCTATGCACTTGGTCCAGCGGTCCAAAAGCTTGCGTGTTCCCTCCACAAAGAAGGTTTTCGGTTGGTTGCGCAACCATTTATGCACCGCTTCCCCCACTTCTTTGTCCGCAGAAAATCAAAAACCTCGTAAAACATCTTTGAGCGGTCCAAAGAGATGATATTCAGAAAGGGCGAGATCTGGGCTGTAGGCAGGTTGTTCCAGCACCTCGAAACACAAATGGTTAATGGTTTAAACGGTCTGGCCGTCCTTGTGTGAGTGTTCATTTTCATGCAACAACAACACTTTCTTCGAAAATAGGCCTCAGCATTTGGTGCGAATTGCTGGCTTCAGATTGTTGGCCAGCAAATCACTGTATCTTGCACTGTTGATCGTACACCCTTTTTCCAGGTAGTCTTCCAGGATAGGCTTTTTTGAGTCCCAAAAAACGGTTGGCATCACCTTTCCCACGAAAGATTGAGTTTTGAATTTCATCTTCGTTTGCAAACCCGGGTGTTTCCACGCCATATTCTGGCTTTTGGATTCTGGCTCATAGTGATGAACCCACATATGAATTTCAGCCCCTGACACACCTTCCAACCAGAGAAATCGGATCACTGTTCTTTGTTAGTCATTGGTGCACACTGCTAGCAGAGCGGCCATGTTTCCACTGTCACAGCATCAAGGAAAATGATGCAATCAAGGTAAGACTTCGATCACATGACCACAGTAGTACCATCTCTAACAATGCATGCATAGGAGACAGTGTGACAAAGCTAGAGATGTGTTATGAAGAAAGTGCGGATAATTTCTGACTTATCCCCATAGATTGTCATTAAAATAATTTGTGGTTCCTTCAACAGATGCTGAATTGCTTCATAAACTTTCCATATTGCAGTGCAAGCTTTCAGGTGCAAAACTATTGTAACGTGTTTTGCCACTGAAGACGCCATTAGATCTTCTGTCAGCCTACGACAAGACAAGGATTTGACCTTGTGGAGGGGTTGACCCCCTCCAAAACGGAAAAAATGGAATAGCTTATGGTGGAGGAACCGGTAACACAGAAACACCTGCCTCCCCAGCTAGAACGAGTGAATGAGCAATGGATGAAAGTGTTGAGTGAATGTGAAACAACAGATCGACGCATGCTGGACCATGGAATTGCTCGAGACGAACAATCCTAAGAAGGAAGCAGAGGATGTAATGGCCGGGGAATAGTCGCTGCAAGAGTAGTAGCCGAAACAACAGGAGATGCAGCACGCACAGCCTTGGAAGGAAAGGAACAGGGACACACCGTTAGGCTATTCGGGATAAACAGCCTCAAGGAGGGAGCAGTGTGACGTAGGTGCGCTATGCAGGACACCCCCTCCCCCACCAGCAGTGATGTAATTGCGTCGGAGCGCTGTCGCTGCTACGGTAACAGGCCAGTCAACACTCCACCTCCCTCCCCCGCGGTGACGTAATAGCACTTCTCACTGTGACGTTGAACCGATACTACTCCCGTCTTCACCCTACCACCACCCAGCGTCAGTGAAGTCGGGAGCGGTTCGTCGTCGCTGGCCCTGGCGTCATGTTTACAATGCTCCCTAAGATCGTCGTGGGAAACCAAGCTCGCTGCGGAGAATCATTATTGAAGTCAATGACAGACCCAAAAATAACAATAACAATGTTTAATAAACACAAAAATAAGTTATGACAAAAATATATATACAGATAAAATAAACCTGGCTGAGTTTCTCCACCCAACATTAATCCGCACCTCGCGGCATCAACTCAACAACCTGCCCAGTTTCACTGGCCCAGTGACATTTGAATACACGGTCACTTCCTTTCTAGCCACATGCGGCATCAAGACAAATACACAGAATAACTAAACTGAACTGGTCCGCCACAGGCGGCAATCAAGAAATTACATGTCTATCTATATAATACAGGCTAAACAAACCTCAGTCACAGGTGGCCTCAAGAAAATCTATATAAATAAAAATGTAAATGTTCGTTTGTTCAGGATCCTAAATCTCCGAATGTTTTTCACCGATTGCTTCGAAATTTTGACACAACGTTGCATTCGAATGCGCGCGTGTTTTTATATACCTATTATATAGATGTCACACCTGTGACAGGTANCTCGATCGACACCAGCGGACGAAATAAATGCTTGGCTGAAATACTCTACTTTGTGGCGACACGTAAAGACGTTAAAATTAACTACAAATATGCGTGTCCAGCTGCAAAACGATCGATCAGCTGAGATATTCTCACATCAATTGCTGGGAATTGGGAACGGAAAGGTGCCGGTTGATCTGACCTCAGGACGATTTCGTTGCCTCATAACTTCTGCAATTTAGTGACGTCAAAAGACGAAGTGGTTGAAAAAGTATTTCCCATTATTCAAACCAGTTATAAGAATCACGATTGGCTGAGTGAACGGGCTATTCTTGCGGCCAAGAACAAAGACGTCTACGAACTAAACAATATCATTCAGTCTAACATTCACTGCGAGGCAGTCACATACAAGTCCGTCGACACTGTTGTGGAAGCAGATGAAACGGTTAATTATCCAACAGAATTTTTTAATTCACTCGATCTGCCACAGCAACGCGTGGCCGGGTACAGCCAGTAATATATGTATTTATACGAAAAAACTAACTCTCGTATCGCCGCCACGCCATCCCCCCCGATAACTGGCGACTGTAAACCCCCACGTCTGTGGCCAGACCCAGAGTATGCCGAAACGCAATTTTAAAACAGGAGCCCTTTGAACTGAAATTTAGCAAATATCCCTGGCTGGTCCGCAAGACGTGCTTACCCAAGTGGATCCACTTATCAGACTAAAATCTCGCTCTCCAACATACTTCCTCCCGAGACACAGGGATAGAAAGGAAAGGGAAATCACGTGGTCTTCGGGAGAGAAGGAGGGGGTGAGCTTAGGATCGTGAAAGAAAGGGTAGCGCGGAAGATATGGCTGGAAGCCATGACGTCACTCATGCGAGCCGGGCCATGCTCTGCTCAACGTAATATGGGACACCGCTGTAACACGAGGCAACAGGGAAAGGTATAAAAAAGCCGGCTGAGCAGTATGTGAGAGAGTGTGAGATCAGGAGTGACACAGTGAGGATCACGAAGTCACCGAGTGCAGCAGAAGTCTAGCAGTCGCCGAGAGCAGTGGATGTACAGTCAATTCTCGATTATCTGGGGGCGGATTAACCGGTTCGCGGCTTAACCGGGGCTACTGAGGCTTTTTTTGAGGCTTATATGTTGTTTAACATTCATTCACTTTTGTTTCACATGGCGAGTTGTAACACTATTTTCGCACTAGTGTGAACCGAGCTCTGCATTCTTTGGTCCCGTTATGCTAACACAATGTTCTAGGGTAGGGGTGAAAGAATGCAAGGATTTGTGGAAAGTTTCAAGGACAGATACATCGCCCCAGTTAGTATCTTTGTATCGATCTTCAAGCGCGTTAGCAAAATATCAGGGTGTAAAAGGAAGCGTGTTGCGTTAAGTATTCAACAGAAAAGGGAAAATGCCGCGAAAAAGTAAACGACAATATTAATTTTTTTTTTAGTGTTAAGTGTGAATATTCGTAAAAAATGTTGGATGTTGTTGAAGACTGTGATTGAAATAACTAATTCATATTTCAGTGTAATGTAAAAAAAGTATTAAATAGGCCATGAGATGACATAAAAATGAGGTTGAATAAATTTAAATACAGGTAGGCCTATAGTATTATGAAGGTACAGTATTACAGTACTACTTTTAATAAAATTTGTCTTCACCGGGTTTTTGATTAATCGTGATTTCCATCCCCACCATTATCCCGGATAATCGAGAGTTGATTGTAATTGTGATACTGCTGATGGCAATAATTGTGTAATTGTGAATTGTAAGTGTATGAGCGAATGTGGAATAAATTCGCTATATCCAAGACGGCGTGAAGTTATTTGTCACATGACATATACCCAACACATGACACCATGTATGAACTTCTGATATATATGTGCAACAGGAAGGTTTCTTTTTACAATTGAAACTCACTGTGTTAGTCTGTTTAGCCATGACCACTTGACCAGAAGATATAAGCTGGCATTTAAATGTTTGAGTTAATGTGTTAATCATACATTCATGCAAGTTGGTACAAAGTAATTTCAATTACTAACTATTGAAAAAATTTCTGTATTTGTATATGACAAAGTGAAAGGAACTCCATTATATTGTGTACTAACTGTATAAGTTCAGGGGTTTTCATAATGGTGATTGATCTGATTATGGTCTTCAGAGTTGTGACACCATGTTGTCTTGTAGATAGATACTTATGTTTTATAGAAACATGCTATCTCCATCTTCAGGACTGAAGTGTGTCAGTTGTGGCCCAGAAAAGGGCCATCTTTTCTCAAAACTCCATTTTTTCCTCCTGAAAACATATCCATGGAAAAGTAAATCTTTTCTCTTAATTACATTTCTCATCTATGATGTGAAACATAGTGAGCCTCTTGAAAGGGATGTTTCCCTCCAACCTGCTTGTATAACTGAGACAATTCCTCAGCTTACACACTTCAACTATATTTCATAGAATGTCATGAGACAATCATCTATACCTTTCTAAATAATATACTGAACACTAGATCAAATCAACTTTTTCAATATACCCACATAAAAAGCCTACTACAGTCAAAACTTGTGATTTTAATTTTTTTCTTAATTTTCAGGAACAATATTCCGATTGAAAGGCTGCATATTAACGATGTCTTTTCTGGATTGTAATGGAGCACTGATACCATATTCTTATGAAGCATGGAAAGATGAGAACAAGGAGGGAAGAGAACGAATAAGTAAGGATGCTGTGGCACAAAGTATATACATTTAGAATTATAATAGTGAAATTTATGTAATCTCCTGGTACCTGGTGACCTAATTTCAGATCAAGACCCATGAATAAGTTTTATATATGTATCTCTTGCATGTATTCTGTACCACAGTTAGTTTGTGCTATTTGAAGGGAACTGCGATGTCTTGGTGTAGTAACTAAGCTCCAGGCTGGGCACCTGAGGAACTGGGTTTCAATTCTTGGCAGGATTAAAATGTTTGTCCTTCTTCATAGCATCCATACTAGTTATGGAGTCCACCCACTCTCATTTCCAGTGGGTACTGTGGGCTCTTTCCATGGGGCTAAAGTGACCAGAGCATGAAGCTGACCACTGACTTGCATCTGGTGCCAAGGTTACTGCTTGGAGCTGTATTTCCAGTCCCCAGTTTGTCTTCATGGTGTGATGCTTAACTAAGCACAGGGATAACTTTACCTTATATATTTTGAAGAGAGTTCTTTGAGAAGTATTCGTGAAAACCTCACTAAAACCCTGGTATCAACATCAGTGATACCAAAGGTCAGCATTGGACACTATTCTGAGCTATCCCCATTCATGATCTATGCTTACAACCTTTTCTTCTGGGATCCATCATACAATTATGCCCCCATTCATCAGTGTTCAGTATGACATTTTCCAAGAGGTGTTCCTAACAATGTTCTGTATAATTTCATGTCTCTATCCTATCCAAGTTCCTAGCCAATTGTAGCCTCCGGGATTGCACTATCATAACAGCACTAAATAGCTTGTATAAATCATACCTTTCTATATGAGAATGTCATTATATGCATGCAGTATTAATAAGTAATCCATTATGATGCATGGATTATGTAATCTGTTTGAATTCACTGTAATATATGTTCACATTCATATATTTTCTTCTGAATCATAATCTTTCCATCATTCAATAAAATTGGTGTAATTTTAATGTACTGTTCCTGTATCTCTTATTGTGCTAACTTACAAATGCACATGGTTTATGATTTTCCAGAGGTTTGAGATATGAGGTTCTCATGGTGGCTAATGTTATGTGTATATTAAGTTCTTCTTCTTCTTCTTCTTCTTCTCCTCCTTCTCCTTCTTCTCCTTCTTCTTCTTCTTCTTCTTCTTCTACTATGGCGCAACAGCCTGATGTCGGGCCTTGGCCTCCCTTATCAAGCCCCTCTATTCCTCTCTGCCCTGCGCTGCTCTCTTCCAGTTCCTTACACCCATTCACTTCTTCACATCTTGTTCCACCGCATCAATCCAGCTAGTTCTTAGCTTACCAGCACGTCTCCTACCACCTATTGTACTATATAATATATTCTTTTGGATACGCTCCTTATCCATTCTCTGTGCATGCCCAGCCCATTGCAATCTTTTTAGCTTTATCGTCACTGAGATCTCTGGCTCCTTATGTAATTTGTATAACTCTTTATTATATCTTATTCTCCATATCCCATTCTCTTTTATTGGTCCATAAATTCGTCTTAGGATTTTCTTCTCGAATGAATTGATGACTGATTCCTCTTTCCATAATATCACTGGTCTTATCATTGTTTTATATATTTTTATTTTAATCGCTCGGTGTATATCCTTTGATCTAAAAACTGATAGTAACGAGAAATATGAATTATTCGCTAGTTTTATTCTTCTTGTTATTTCATGATTTTCCTCTCCATCTTTGTCGAATTTCGGTCCTAAATATATGAAGTCTTCAACTATTTCTATCCCATCCCCTTCCATGTTAATTTCTCCAGTTGCCTTGGATTCCTTCTGGATTGTATCAGCATTTTAGTTTTATTTACATTCACCTCTAAGCCAGTTGTTTTTGCTATGGTTTTTATTTCTTTATATATCTCCTTCATTGCTCTTAGGGATCTCAATACTATAATAATATCATCCGCATACGCCATTATTTGCGTTTGTTTATACACTATTGTGTTCCTTGTGTCTACATTACATTTCCTCACTATATATTCCAATACCAAATTAAATAGTGATGGTGCCAAACTATCACCCTGTTTTAATCCTTGATTTGTCTTAAAGCATTCCATTAACTGATTCTGGATTTTAACTTGATTGAATGTTTCTGTCATTGTTAAGTTAATTATTCTACTTAATTTTGTTGGAATACCAAAAGTGGACATAATCATCCTTAATTTCTTCCTTATTATTGTATCATATGCTTGTTTAAAACCTGTGAATCATAGGTAAATATTTGTATTAAATTCCCAGCATTTCTCCATTATTTGTCTCAGGGTGAATAAATTGTCTATTGTTGACCTGTTGAGTCAAAATCCTGTTTGACATTCTCCTATTATTTTTTCTATATATGGATCCAGTCTCTTTTTTAGTATCCGTGTTAAAGTTTTATATGCTGTCAGTAGTAATGATATACCTCTATAGTTACTACATGTTAATTTATCCCCTTTTTTAAATATGGGACATATAATGCTCTTTCCCCCATCTNTGGTATCTTTTCTTCTTCCCACACTTTATTTATAATTCTGTGGAGTACTGTTATTCATTCTTGTCCTCCTGCCTTCAATAATTCTGCTGGTATGTTATCTCCTCCTGGTGCTTTATTTAGTTTTTGTTCCTTTAGTGCTTCTTCCACTTCTTCCTTTTTTTGGGGGCTCTATTATCTCTTCCTCTTCCCCTTCTCCATTGTCTGTATTTTCTTCTTCATTGTCCTCATTATCTTCCATATTCTGATTTTGGTTTAATAATTGTTCAAAATATTCTTTCCATGTATTCATAATCTCTATTTTATTATTTATTAGAAGCCCTAAATTCTGTTTTGGTTTGAAACCTTCTATATTTGATTTGCCCAAAGGCATTTTTTGTTTTGTTATTTTTGAAGTCTTCCATTTGCAGTAATTGTTCATTTAGAAAGGCCTGTTTCTTTTTCCTGCAAATCTTGTATGCATTCCTTCTTGCTTCTTTATACGCTTCATTTCTTGCTCTTGTTGGTCTTTCCATATATTTCTTGTTCTTGAGGTTTATACTCTACCTACATTCCTAGTCGAACCATTCTCTATTATCCTGTTTCTCTTGATACCCCAGAGTCCTCTCGGCTTCTGTAATTATTGCGGTTTTAAAATCTACCCATATCCCTTCTACCGTTACTTCCTTATTTGCTCTATTGTCATTAATTTCTTTAGTTTTATTTTGGAATTCTTCTCTCTTATCACTCTCTGTAATCTTGTCAATATTAAATTTCTTACATTTCTCATACTGCTTCGATCTTTGACAGCTTATTTTGCATCTATATTGAACCTGTACTAAGTAATGATCACTATCACAGTTGGCCCCTCTTATTGTTCTTACGTCCAGGATATTCGTTGCAAATCGCAATGAGAATGAAGTTTTGATAGAATCCCACTAAAATTTAAACTAAGAACCGTGAGATAGAAGACACTCAGGAAAATTCTGAAATAGATGAAAAGTTTCTGTTCTGCAGTGCCCATAACATGCCAACTGTGCCTAATCCTGGGAAGCAGGATGACGATGAGAGAGTAGTGAGGAAGATCTAGATGGTAATATGAGTATGACATTTATGCCACAAACAGTGATGACTGTGACAGACATTTAGAATAGTTACTATGTAGTACTGAAATAGTGGTTAACTTATTTATACTTAGTAATGACGCATCAAGCAGAAGGTACAATGTGAGAACAAGAAAGGCACACGAGTTAGTGAATGGTGATGAAACATGAAGCACGATTAGTGACAATAAAGTATGATGCGGCATGCTTTTATTGCTTTGCAGAATTGCACTGAACCAGAAAGCTTTCATGGTTGTCACTAGGAGAAGGGAATAATATAGATACTTGATACCAAGGCTAGAAACAACACATGCAAGGAATATTTTTGAGCATATAAACTACAAGATAAATAATGATGATTTTATATATGTGTCCCCATTTTAACATATTAATGGAAAAAATTTGAAATTTTAAGTGATGCACAGCTCTGCTATAATTTACAGACTGTAGATATCCTCAAAAGAATACAAGAATTTGAAGAATGATGTAGATCTTTTGTATGCCTTCAGGAGTTACATGTAAATAATGTGGAGACAATGGGTAATGCTAATGGTTTATACAGTTATTTTATGATACTATATAAAGTGTTGAGGTTATGTGGTATCAAATGAGATATGGTGAAAAGCAGATGTAACCTGTTTTAACCCTTTAAAGCACCTTAGATACTGTATGAACAACATGTACAGTAAAGACATACACATTTTGTCCACAAACTGTATTTATGGGTTTTGTGTGATTCTCACAGTATGCAATGATTATTAGCCTTGTACAGCTTTAAGCAGTTTGTCTTTGTAATGGGGATGATATATTTCTTGAGAGGTAGGGACTTAATATTTAAATATGATTTAGATGAATTTCAGGCATCAAAGTGTTAAAATTTATTTTCAGTTGTTTGCCAACTATCATAAAACAATTTCAAAATTGTGTTGTGAAACAACACAGCAAGCCACGAACAAACCCTGGACGACATCAAGAATCTCCTCATCAAGATAGACAGGCGGCACAAAATCTGCCCCATACAAGAAGGACGATAGGAGTACGGACACAAACTTACATGGTTTAAAAAAAAAATTAACTATTGACAATAAAGGGTTTTTAAATAACATCTAGAAACTTTTAAAAACTTTACAACACCAGGAAGCTGCTGTGATTGTGAAACGTTCGACTTTATGCATACTGTGCATTATAGGATATAAGTATAGGTATCTTAAATCAAAACACCTATTGTGATGGTAGTTTCCAGTTTGTAATGATGTTCCCTCTGAAGATGGCCCGTAAGGACCGAAACATGCAAGGGAGATAAGTTTTAATGTAGTAAAAACTTATATGTCACATTGGATGGAGTAGTTTGTATTTATTATTGATAAAATTCAATTTTGATAATGATTAAATAATTTGGAGTGCAATCTCCTTTAAGACTTCCATTCCCTTTATAG